TGGAGTTACACCAGCATTGGTGTTCCATTTTTTTAGTTGCAATCGTTCTTTTACCCACAAGTGGTCCAATAACCTGCTATAGTGTAATCTATACTGTCCTCTCCACCATTGCGTATATCACGATCTATATCCCCCACTTTTGACTACTTTAGACTAGTGCTCTACCTTTGCAGGTGTGACAAGGCGTTTTTGGCCACAACCTGGTTTGTGTCCTTCACTTTCCCCACCTACAGATCCTGAAAATCCTTAGTTCACTTGTGCATCGCACAATGATCTACCTATTGCTGTTAGTGAAGGTATTCGTTCATGTGCTGCCATCTTTTTCTCATCATGTATCATTTCATTGTCTTGGTCGTATTTTTTGTGCTTTTGCTTTTGTTGCTTCAATATCCTCTGGAGCAATTCCAAATTCATACCGCGAGGTATATAAACACGCTGCTAGGCAAGTAGCACTGCATGAGATGTGTTTGCTCTTATTTCTTGAGGTACATGGGAACTTGTGACTGCTTCAACTTTCCAGTGATATTGTTTGGGTTTTCACTCTTAAATATCATGTCGTTGGTAGTATTGATTGATAGAAAGCTCGTTTTGTAGCAAAAAGGTTTATGTAGACATGTAGTGTTGCCTATTTTGAGACGTTTTTGCCGACCGCCCATTTGAATTAATTATGAGTTTTCTTCTCGCTAGCGGTCAGTCAATCTTGCCCAATGTATCAACTAGATGTGAAAATGTCTTTCTTTATGGTCATTTGTATGAGACTGTTTCTATGGAGCGATCTACAGGCTATGCTGCTCAGGAAGAGGCTGCTACTGTGGTGTGCAAATTGAAAAAGGCTATTTATGGTCTTAAACAAAGTCCTGGAGCTTCAGCCAATAAATTCAGTAGAGCCGTTGACTTTAAGCTGACAAGTCTGCATTTGTACGACAAAGCATAAATAGGATATTCATTCTTATTGTTTATGTTGATGACATCCAAATATTGGGTATGATAATGTGGGGTTGAAGAAACTTAAGTATTTGCAAAAGCATTTTGTTACTATGGATATGGGGAGTTACAGTATTGTTTTAGGAGTTGAGATTGTTAACAGTTACTCTGGAGTCTCATTTTGCTAACTAAAGTATGCTACTGATTCACTTGAACTGCTGGACTCTCCAACGGATGTTGGTCCACGTATTTGGGATGATAGTGAAAGAACAAAAAAGAGGATAAGTCGAAGTACAGATGACTTATCAGGGTATATCCTTTACAGTTGGAGTGGTTAGTCGTGTTATGGACCATACAAAACAAATTCACTAGGGTGTTGTAATTAGGAATCTGAGGTACAAGAAGAAATCTACTGGGACTATTGTTCAAGAAAAATTGACATTTAAAAGTTCAATCCTATGTTAGATCGAAGAATAACAAATCGACCTCTTCTGGTTATTATTCTTAGGGGAAATCTTGTAACTTGTAGCAAAGAACAAACTAGAGTTGCTAGAACAACAACACTGACTGAGATCTTATGGGTGAAAAATCTACGTGAAGAATTGAAGTTGACATACGATGAACCGCAACCAATGTAATGGAACCTAGTCTCTACTCCCTCTATAATATGAGAGTCCTTTGTACTTCAAAGATACAAAGTTTCCACTTTTACAAATTTGATATATGAGACTATTATTTTATTTAGTTAACTATATCATCTCCCATATTCTTTTTAAATGACATCTTTTGCCTTTTTCGCCTACTTAAAATGATATGGAGATTAATTTCATAAGAAGCCAGTATGAAGTTATAACCCTTATTTGGTTATGATAACAACTTATAGATAATGTGAATTATGTATGTCGTGATGGTTCTGGTATGTCCACAATTAGTTTTTTTATTTTTTATTTTTTATTTTTTTATTTTCTACTCTTATAGGCCATCTTTTTCCAATAACTCCATTATTCCATACTTTGTTTATTATTAACTTTTCTAGTTGTCTAGGCCATGGTTTCCTATAACTTCATTATTTAACATTTTTTAATCTATTTATTTATTTGAAGCCTCTTTGATGTGACAGCATATAGGCATCAAAGGTTGTTAAAACTTTCAGCTCTTCTTTCTTGAAATTAGATTAAGTTGTACTTATAAAAATACGTCGTATACCCTCTTTACTAGTAATCTATTTATTCATCATAGAATAATCTCTAAATAATGAGAGAAAATTTAATTTTGTTTATGCTTTGTAGTAGTTATCCAGAGTGATTAGAGGAAAATTATTTTCTTTATGATGCTTTGCAGGTTGCCTGGGAAGGTCTTATCGATGCTTTAATCGAGCCTGCATTTCTAGCTGGCCTCACCAACTCTGCTGTAGAAGATCATGTCCAAGTGCTTAATACTTCTGAATGTAACAACACTACAATAAAGGAAGACAGGCACTTGAAAAGAATTAAGCTTATCATGGCACCAATCATAAGAATAATGTCGAGTAAGTGTGATGTGTCCGTCCGTGCTGCCTGCTTGAGAACGTGGTCTTACCTACTGCATAAACTCGAAGCTTCTGCTAACAGTCAGTTAGTGATAAAATCTGTTTGGGAGCCTGTTATGAAAGTGGTCTTTCAAGTGGGACCAGATAACAAGAACATCTATTTGTGGAATTTCTGTTTAGATCTCCTTGATACTCTGATATTGGGTGAAAATCAGGGAAAGGCATCTCTTAAAAACTCTATAGGTGATCATTCGGTATCTTTGAAGGGCCCACTGAGACATTATCCTATAAGCTGTTCCCGTTGGAATCTATCTCAGCTGGACTTCTTTATTAATATGATAGAAAATCTAGTGAATCGAAATTCAGAGCCATTTGTTGCATCTGAATTTGCAAGACTGGAAACTGATGCTGCCTTGAGGTTGTTTGGTTCTCTTCTTGAAACGGTTCAAAAGGCCCTCCGATGTGTCTCCATTAGTTATAATGAGGTTATTCGTTGTTTGGATACACTATTTGGATTCCTGGAGAGAATATGCATTCTTTTGGACAACGAGAGAAGCTATTATGGTCCTCACACATGCTTTAAGTTTCTGAAAGTGGTGACTGAAAAGTTAGAACCTTCCATTCTGGAATCTCCTCTCTATAAAGTGGGCTTAGAAATAAAGTGCAGCAAAAAGTTAAAACGTGCTACTGAGATTAGATGCGCAAAAGTGCCACATATCTGCTTTATGGATTTTGAGGATAAGGTTCTTCCGGCCGTGTACGTGGGTACTTTCTATTTCTTTCTAGTTGCAAACTCAAATCTGGAGACACCTGATAATGGCTCCTTATTGAAGCAGATGGAAGATTACTTCAAAACTTTGTTATCTTCATGTGATACTTGGGAGGTTCTTTGCACATTTACGTATTTACTGTACAAAAACACCACATTTAACAGCATAAGCATTTGGATAGTTTTAGTAAACCGTCTTAAAGAATGCTTAAACAGCAACGATTATTGTTTTGTGGCAGACAGCACAAGTTCTGCTGTTGTGTTGCATCTTCTGTCATATCCTTTTGCTTTGTGGTCATGGTCCCCAATCAAACTCAAGCCTCACATTGTAATTGAAGCGTGGACCTCACTTTATGTGTCTGTTAACCAAGCTTCACAATCTCATAATGCTGCTGAGAGTTTTTCTGGGGATCTTTGTGCAATACTCAATGAATACATTTGTCAAATTGCATTAGAATTTGGCACGGGAACCGAGGTTCAACTGGAAGAAGAGAACTGTTGTGGTGGGTTTTCTCTGCTGTGTGGAGATGTTATCACCTGTGTCTTAAAGGAATTGACGCTGTCCTTCAACTCAAAAGTGAGACATTGTGTAGATTGTAATGGCAGAAAGCCCGTCGTGGTGAACTGTATGAATATAGCAGCTTGGTAAGCTTGAAATCTTTTTAATAGTTATTAATTTGAATTTTGTGCAACTTGTGATGTTGCCTTATATCTTTCACCCTTCTGTGTTTGTTTTAGCTCTGTATGACTTGGTTTAACAGCCATCATTTTATGAAACTTCTGGCAATATTCAAAGAATTTAAATAAAAGTGCACACATAATCAAAACTCTTCTACATGGATACTTGTATCTTTAGCTCTGGTAGATAGTCTAGCATAGACATTAAAATTCTGGAAATTGAACTCTAATTGAACTTTTAGATTCTTGAGAGTGGAGCCTATTTCTTACGAAGCAAAATTGCTTGCTTGCTTAAATTGGTGCACCAAAATGGTATTTTGGTTTGTGATCATGGCATATTTTTCACTTTGAACCAAATGACATGATCAATTATACTGTACATTAAAGTGATTTTCTCTCTCTTTTGTTCTTTAATTTCACCTTTGTTGTCTTAGACCGCGACCTTTTCATTTTAGTAACAAAATCTGTAAAATTGCTGCCCTTTTGTTTTTTGTCCTTACAGGTAGAGGCAGTATTATGCTTGTGGGTGAGTCGAGTGTCTATAATCTGTATATTTGTTTCCCTCATTATGTTGTTACTTTTAGATTAATTTGCACCTTTGTTGAACAGACAAGTCATTCTCTAACTCGGATTTATCATTTTCTCTGGCGTTTGGGATAAAAAAGGATACAATATATTAGATTTCCTTTTATTATCTGATTGATCAGATTTTCTATTTGGCATGAGTCTCTTGCAGGTTCATGAAGTTGTTCCGGACGTGTAAACGGAAAAAGGACCCATCCCATCTCTCCCAGGCATCAAGGTTGTTTTTAGTATTATATATTACTTGATAATCTCTATTAAGAAGTGTGGCTCAATTTTATAAACTTTTCCAGATTTTTGTCAGCATTGGTCAGATTCATTGGATGCCTTAGTGAAAAGGATGACGTTCTCACATTTGTTGAGGTGAGCTTTATTCCTTACGTTTAGCTGTTTTATAATTTTGAGAAAGCTGTTTAGAGAAAAAAATTAAAGAAATCAGCATCCGTCATATATTGATTTTTAAGAAATTCGTTTGTACTAGTTGGTTATTCTTGTGAATTTTGTATGTTAATTGAGTTGCTAATATGGTTTTTCCTGCTCTACTTGGTTTGGTTCTTCTGTAGATGATTTCAAGTCCATTGCTCCACTGGATATCAGAAACTGATCTCCTTGATGAGACTGCAAATAATCAGCTTCAGCTATTATGGACCGAAATGCTTAAAATTCTGCAGCTAAGTAGACCATCAATCACATTCGACTCTTTATTCCTCAGATTTCAACAACCCCTCCTCGAAAAAGCTCTCGATCACCCAAATCGAGCCATCTCTGAGGCTACCATTAACTTTTGGAACTCGACGTACGGTGCACAGAACAGTTTAGAGTTTCCTAAAAGCATTGTTCCTGTACTGGACAAGCTCACAAGAAACGGAAAAATCAACATTTGCAGTAGAAATCGTCCAGGAAGATATAAGGTGACTAATGCACTAAACAAATCTTCGAAAAGAGTCGAGATTGTGGGCAACTTTTGTTGTGATGAAATTTATTCAGGCGCTAAAAGAAAACGGCTGGAGCTGACCGAACGCCAGAGAGAAGTGAGACGAGCACAACAAGGTCGGTCTAGAGATTGCAGTGGACATGGCCCCGGAATTCGGACTTACACTAGTGTTGATTTCTCTCAAGGTATTGAAGATTTGTCTCAAGGTAATGATGAATCACAAGAAATCAGGGATTCTTATTAGTCAATGTTGGGGATGATGAGAAAAGCTTGTTCTCGACTTTCAGGAACATGTGAGGTGATGGAATTGTTGTGGTGAGATTATATGTTTGATTGATTTACTTGTAATTATGTGAAAAAAAAAATTGAATTTTATTATGTTGCTATTTAATAGTGTTTTGCATTTAATGTTTCAAGTTAACCTAGTAAGATAATAGATATTTTTATTTGGCCAATTTACACCCCTACCGAATGAACTGAAAATAATTGCATACATACGGTTTGAGAAAAAAACTAGCATCTATTCGGGATTTGTGGCAAATAATTAGGAAAATGCATAATGTCAGTTACCAATTAAAAAAACTATTTTGTTCCTATAATTCCATAATTGTAGGCAACAGAAAAAGAAAAATGATAAACATGGAAAGAACGATACTGCGTGACGACGGTGTGCTGCAGCTGTAGGCGGCTGGAGAGGTTGTAGTCACAGTGTCGAACGCCTGAGATGGCCGGAGGTTGCTACGTGGCTGAACGTGGACAGAGAAGATGTCCGAGAAATAAAATCCGTTCACGGTATCTCCAGAGTGTTGAACGACTTCCTCGTCGGGCGCTGCCGCCGACGATGGCTTCCTCTGGTCGTCCTCTTTGAAGCTCGAGAGTATCGCCAGTTGTGGGCTTGGACGAGAGTATAGCCTGTTTCGAGAGTATATATGTAAATTGGCCAAAGAATATTTTCAGTGTATAATGTGTTTATACTCAATATATTTTTAGTATATGTTGCCTTTTTATTTACATAATATTATCTAAGGGTAAATAATAATTTGCAACCGGTACTATACGCGAATTTGAAGTTTGCAACCTAAAGAATTTTTTGTACTAAATTGCAACCTTTAATACACGATTTGTCTATATCGCAACCTCCGGCCATCGGAGGTCCATTTTTCACCGAAAAAGCAAGCGTGCAACACACATGTACCAAATTTGAGGGCAAAAATGTCATTTCATGTCTCTTCATCCTTCCTCTTTCATCCTCTTGCTCTCACTCTCTCCAGGCCATTGACCGGCCTGCCGCCATAGTACCTCTCCTCCTCCTCCCTTTCACGGCGGCTGTACTCCGACGGCGGCCTAATCACCTGAAGTCCCTCATCAACCGTCACAATATGGCCCCTCTCCTCGTTTTGCCCCTGAAGCTTCCTTGCAGTCTCCTCGTCCACCTTGAAAACCTCCGCAATAGTCTTTGTATCAAAACCCCTGAAAACATTTCCCAGCTGCTGATGTGGCCGGCCTTGTCCTCTCTGCTTGTATTGTTCTTGGTGTTGTCCTCTTGCCGGATTTTCGGCCAAGAAAAACGACTGCAAATTCGAGTGATTAGTAAATCAATATATCCCTTTCTTAAAAATTGAAAAATCGTTCTCGAATTAGTAAATACTCTCGGGTTTTGATCGAGCTGGTTGGCATTGTTGCCATTGTCATGAAAAACGACGAGCACGACCTCTTCATTTCCGTCCTGCGAGATCAAAAGAGTCGCTGTAGATGGGGGCTGCGAGAAGAAGATGAACAGAGCAAAGAGAAATTTCGAACACATATCTTGAAATTTCAATTGCTCTTCCTTTTCAGATCTGAGGCAATAATTTCGACAAATCCGTCCAGATTGAAGACGAATTTGACTGCGTGAGACTCTACCGGCGACAAAGTAGGGCTCCTTTTCCAGGCACTGCGGCGGATGGCGGTTCCCTGCGGTGCTCCAGAATTTGACTATGTGGGAGTGTGTGTGAGAGGTAGGATGAAAAGAGGAAGGATGATGAGAGATGAAATGACATTTTTACCCTCAAATTTAGTACGTGTGTGTCACACGCTTGCTTTTCCGGTAAAAAATGGACCTCCGATGGCCGGAGGTTGCGATATAGACAAATCGTGTATTAAAGGTTGCAATTTAGTATAAAAAATTCTTTAGGTTGCAAACCCCAAATTCGTGTATAGTACAAGTTGCAAATTATTATTTACCCTATTATCTAACTACGATTATGATGTTTGAATTTTGTTTATACTTTTTGTTTATATTTCTTACTTAATTTTATACCCAATATATGTACAACATTGATATATAAAAAACATATTATAAGGGCTTCTAGGATGTGAAAAAAAAATTATATATACTAAATTACAATTTTATTTTTTTACTCAACCAATATTTAGTTTATGCTTCGTTTATAACTTGCAACTATGTATATAAGTAGGTATATACAATTTACGTCTTCGTAACATATAAGTAGACATATACAATTTACGTCTTCGTAATTTACAATTACAAAACGTTCAGGTAGACATTTATAACAAAAAGAGGTCAAAGCTTAATGACGAACATCATAATCTCGTGCAAGACGGACATCAAAATATTTTCAATTAATATGGCGTTTACAATGAGTATATTTTCAGTATATAGTACTTTTTTTTATATAGCTTTTACCCGCTCAAAATGCCCTCTTGAACAACAATCTGACAAACATAACTAGTGATTTGTTTGGTCTAATCTCTTTATTCAACATCAGTACCATCAAATTCTGCTAATATACCAAACATAAAAAATACATTTAATTATCTCTCCATGTAAATTTGTAAATCAATTTTTTTACTGTAAATTTATATCTACTTTATTTTTCAGTTTATTATATGTTTATAAACCAATACAATAATACATGTGTTGCAGTTTTTTTAACATAAATTTATATCTAGTTTATTTTTCAGTATATGTTGCTAATACACCAAACATAAACTATACATACACATCATATAAACAATTAAAATATATCCGATCGAAACTATAACAACTCACGATCTAAGCCCGTAGTGCGATATTGTCCGCTATGGGTACTCTCAACCTTCCCTGCACGGTTTTTGCCTTTGGGAGCTCGCTCACCAAAACGCGTCACACTAGTGAAGGTTAAGAGTACCCAAAGCGGACAATATCACACTACGGGTCTAGATCGTTGGGCTGTTACAGATGGTATCAGAACCAGTACCCGGACTGCTGTGCCAGCGAGGACGCTGGGTCCTCAAGGGGGTGGATTGTAATATCCCACATCGGTTGTTAAGGAGAACGAAATATGCCTTATAAGATGGTGTGGATATCTTAACTTGTAGGACGCGTTTTGGTGAGCTAGCTCCCAAAGGCAAAACCGTGCAGGTGAATGGGCCCAAAGCGGGTAATATTCTACAGCGGGTGGACTGGGCTGTTACAGAAACTATCCGCATGCCGCTGCTGCTCACAAGCAGGGTTGTCGTCGCGTTGCTAAAACTCCACCGAAATCACCGCCACCAGTCGTTGTCGCCTTTTGGATGAGCCAAGCGAAACACTGCGGCTCAAAAGCGGGGACGTCGTTCGTCTAGTCATGCCGCCGATGCTCAACCCCTCCGTCGTCGGTGCCCAACAGGTCGAATTTCCACCACCTTCGGCTGAAGTCCGCTGTCCAACGACATTCCCCACTTACGAGCTGAAAGGGCCCGTCGCACAATCATAGTTGTCATCTTCAGCTGCCGAACTCGTCGGTTGTCGAGCCATTCCATCCGCCGCAGAGGATGACCCGAGAGAAGGTGTGGGGTGGTCCGTCTCCTTCGTTGCCACTGACGTTGTGCTCGGTATTAACGGAAAGTGGAGTCAGTGTTTTTAGGCAACTACTCCCGATAAATCAGGCTTCATTACAAATAATATACTTATGTTGCTTAATAGAATATCTCGTGTGTTTGCAAATAAATTTTGTAAGATTTGATACATTTGCTAAAGGTTATAGTTGTCTGGTGGAGTGTAAATAAAAACTTATAGGGTCGTTCGTAATTTCCTCTTTTTATTTCAGTCACTTAGTTTTAACCATGTATAAATAGAAAAGATAGAAAAATAGTCATTTTTTTGTAGAAGTTGAATTAATAGCAATTTTAGTGGATAAAAGATACATTTACCCTTACTTTATATTTTTGTTATATAAAATAAAAATTAATATCCTATTTTCAATTTCATTTTATCTCTCTTTTCAAATGCAAGTACAACCGAATGATCAAAGGATCACAAGTTCTAGCAAACCTAACCAACACAGGTTAGAAAAAGGTCAACTGGGGTCAGAAACATCACTGCCCCTTACAGATTTGGCTAAGTTCAAACTAGACACACACTCCACAGTTGAGAAGAAAAAAGAGCAAGAAAGAAAGGAGTTTGTTAAACAATACACATTATCAACAATTACATTGATTTCCCAAGGGAAAGAAGACTTGAGGCGCATGTAGCTACCCTTTCATTTTATATGATATTCCGTAATTTATTTATCTATTTACTTGCATTTCATTATTTTATTTGCTTGCTCGTTTTTGCCTTGTATGATTTAACTGTTTTATTGTTGTATTATTATGTGGATGATTTTATTTTTATTGTCGTGTGATTGGTAAGTTAGAATTATTTTAGTTGTTAGTTTAATTGTTCGGCGATTTTCGGTTCAATCGCGTAGAACCGTTTCTTATCCGTTTCGACTCGTTTTTGAGTCATTCTAATCCAAACCTTGAATATATATAATTTGGGCCAAGTTGCTTATATTTTCAGTCCACTTGACCTCAAGAACCCGACCCAAATGCCCTATAGAACCCGCCCAAGCTCTAGCAATTTCGGATAATATTTTTTCAATTTTCAAATGCCTTTAGCCTTATATTTTTGGAACGCTTGGAGTTGATTTACTCCTCTCTCCATAATTTATCTTTAATGCACTTTATTCATTAGAACACCATCTGTTTATAATATTTAATAACTTAATGAATAACATACTACAAAAACATTAATAAATATGCTTAATATCATTGACAGAAATTGGGAAAAAACGGGTGCGGATCCACTATCATGAAGCGCACCATGGGAAAATGGAAAAGTCCATATGAAGCCCAAATGAGGTTCCATCCCAAAACCAATTGGTGGAAGGAGCAGTAGCCCATTAGTCTTATAAGGTGGGTCTATTTTCCATATATGAACGATGTGGGACAACTCACAAGTGATATTCTAACAATCACTGCTCGGTATTGACTCATATTGGTATCCGCCTGACCCATTTTTAAAATGGGGCAGATATGCCCTGCCCCAAAAGCTGCGGGCCGGGGCAGGCCCGCGATTCATCAAATATTCATTCTTGTTTGTGTGTGCTATTTTTTTCCCGTCAAAATTCCAAAACATATTCAGCCAAAAAACCGAGCAATTTTTTAACACAAGACCCGACAACGAATACAACATCTCGAAATATAATTTCATTGCAAAAATATTTCTACACACCTAGTAAATAAAAATATTCAAAGGTAAAGCCTCCCAAAATAAAAACTAATCCCATCTTACCTCATCAATATAATTTAATTAAAAAAAAAAAATGTGAGGAATATTTTCAAAGCTCATTAGGTATAATCTGGAGCTCCTTCATGAGGTGGCCACATTTTGGGGCCGCTTTTTTGGTGGTGAAGGCAATTGGGTTGGCAATTCGAGTATCATCGTGAAAACCGCTATTCCTTGTGAGGATGACTTTGGAAGAGGGCTTTGTGGCCCACCCTTCATCCGGGATTTCGCTACAGTCACCTCTGCTGCTCTTGAAAAGCGTCACAGCACACTCTTCTTCCCCGTGGTCACCTTCCACGGTTAAGTGGTACTTTCCCTCGCCATCTGTCACCCCTTCTTGGCTGTACGTAATGTTTCCCTCATCCTCCCCTCTGCACTCCAGCCGCACGGTCGCCCCTGGCATGGGCTCACTGAGTTTGTTGATGAAATTGGTGCGGCAGACTTCGCAATAAACCTGTCCCTCAACCAAGAACTTTGGGCCCAATGACGAATGGGCCCCACCGCGCCACATAAGCAAGCAAAAAGCCACAGAAAAGGCAGATATCATGACTTGGTTCTGAGTTGCCATTTTTGTAAGTTAGTTACGATTTAGAACTACATATTGTGAGCGGATTGTGACTGGGGTATATATGAGGGCAAGTTAGTTATGCATTTGAGGCTGACTTTTGATGTAATTTATTCAAGGGTGTATGTGGTTGAAGGTGAATTTTGACCCACCAGCTTTAGAGCATACTCCAAAGGAAACTCTCCTCCACATCCATTCAAATATAACTAATTTCTATTTTAAGCATAATTAGATTGTTTAATGTGTGTGTTCCTCCTATTTCTATCAAACAATAAGCATTAATAATTACTACAAAAAAATGGGAAAATAGAAGATAAAAAGGCAATAACATACACAAAGTTGGTCAGTATTGGGTATATATACGCGTTCCTCCTATTTGAAATAATGCACCATTAGTCATAGCGATCTAGCCACTAGTTAGCACGTGGTATTAAGAGTCATAGCGATCTAGCGACTAGTACGTGGTATTATCGGTCGGATCTGTAGTACCAATGATATTATCAAATTAGAAAATATAATGATATATATAAATATACATAAAAAAATATATATTACCAAATATAAAATATTAAAAATTAAAATTAAACTCAGCCCGATGTCGTTTATTTCCATGGCTAATATCTACTCCTTTAGTGGTCGGTGGAAAGAAAGAGCGAGTACAATGAAGGAGATGAAGGAGAAGGGGTGGGTAAGGAGATATGAACAAGTGGGATCGAGATTGATAGAAGATCCATCGCTTTGTCGTTGCAAATAGAGTGCATCGGAGGGGCCACGATGTTAGAACTTCGTTGCAGAGACATCACCCAACTGCCGGCAAAATGAAATGTCAAGAGACAAGAAAAAACTCACGCGAACAGAAAAGAACACGATCTTTTTTGGTGTTTTTGAATTGACAGTTTTTTCTGATGTTATTCTCTTGCTTAAATAAAATATTACAAGAAAACTAATTATGACATTAAAATAAGGCCGATATTCACAACTAACCTAGGAAAACAACTATGGAAAACAAATAAATTATTTTAGGTACACAAAGATTATATCCTATAATAGAATATTTTCTACAATCTCCTCCTTAGCCTTGTGCACATTGCTTACATTTATCAAGCATCTTAGAGCGCAGTTCATAGAACTTTGTCTTCTCAAGGTGACTTTGTTAGAATGTAGCCCAGTTGTTCTTCACTCCTGATGAACTCGACATTAATCAAGCCTTCCTCTACAGACTCCCGAACAAAATGATATTTCACTCGAATGTGCTTGCTCTGTCCAGGAGTACTGGGTTGTTGATTAAGGAAATGCAGACTTGTTCCACCCTCAACATAGACTCTCTTGGTACCGATCCCTGCACCTCAGCCAACACCCGAGCGAGCCAGAATGCTTGACTTGCGGCGTTTGCAACTGCTATGTATTCAGCCTCACAGCTTGTTTTTGCCACCACATTCTTCTTCTTCATGCATTTGCAGGTGATCGGGGTACTGCTGTGGAAGAAAATACCCACTATTGTGCTCTTATTAGCATCAACCTCCTCAGCACAATCGTTGCCACTAAAACATGTTAAGTGAGCTTCCTTCTCCTCCTTCCTGCCAAACTAGAGTCTTTAATTCTGGGTTCCTTCCACATAACGCAGAATGTGCTTCACGGAAGCAAGGTTATCCTCACGTGGATCCTTTAGGATTTGGCTAACATAGCCAACAACAAAAGCCAGATTGGGGTGAGTATTAGCTATGTACCTTAAGCTCCCGATGATTCTCTTGTACGCCGTCTGGTCGACTGTCGAATCCGAGCTAAATTTTCTCAATATCAGTTGTGCCTCCATAGGTACCTGGCATGGATTGCACCAATCATGTCACTCTTCTCTCTAGAATCTTCCAGCATAGGCGCGTTGGCTGAGTGATTTTCCCCTTGCGCTCTGCTTCACTTCAATGTTGAGGTAGTAGTGAAGTAAGTCGAGGTCTTTTATCTTGAACGCGGCCTCCATCTCCTTCTTGAACGACTCTATGTCGCTACAGCTTGATCCGGTGATCACGAGATCATCAACGTAGACCTTAATCATCAGTTGCGAGTCGTCGTTCCGCTTGATGAAGATGATGTGCTCCGCATTCTCCTCTTGAAGCTGAGCAACAATAGCGTGGCGTTCAGCTTTGCGTTCCAGGCCCATAGGGCTCGATGTAGACTGTACAACGCCATTCGAAGCTTGAGCACCATGTGGTCCTTGCCGGTAATGACGAAGTTGGTCGACTACTTGATGTATGACTCTCTCTTGTAGGTCACCTTTCAAGAATGCCGATTTAACGTTCATGTGGTGTACCTCCGATCCCTCGTGCCCTGCAAGGGCGATGAAGAGGCGCACTGAGTCTAACATGAAAACCAGTGCAAACACGTCGTCATAGTCTATGTCGTGTTGTTGTGCGTAGCCCTTCACCAGAAGGCGCGTCTTATGTTTGGACACCGTCATGATCCTCCCTTATCTTGAATAACCGTGTCACCTTGATCACTATGCGGTTAGATAGGAGGTCGGCAAGGCCCTAGTGTCGTTCTCCTCGACGAAATCCATCTACTCCATCCTCGCCTTCCTCTAACTAGGGCTGCGCTCTGCCTCGGCGAATGATGCAGGCTCATCGGCGATCATTACATGCAACTCCTCCATCACCAGCGCATGCGGTATGAAGCCTCGTGGCGAGGTCAGTCCGATGATGTCGTCACCTGAGCAGAAATAGAGTGGCACGTCTGGGGTCGACATCCAGGTTGTCGTCGTCGATATTGTCCAGTGGACCGGGATCCAGTTTGCCCCCAACCGTTCCTTAAAGCAGCAACTTCTCTCCTGGCACTCCGTCTCTATGTGCTTTTATTTTACATTATACATAATATGATTCGATGTGTCGAACTGAAAGATCATGTTGTTAGGGTATACTGTAAAAGATAGGCTTTCAAGATTATGAAAATATCATTTTGAATTAGATTCGTGTTTTATTCAAGTACGTGTGTCTGCAGTTTGTTTATTTATGCAAGCATAAGTTCCTTTATTTTACATTGTAGAAAATATGGTTTATATGAGTCAAACGGAAAGATCATATTATTGGTTCTTTGTAAAATATAAATATGTGTTCATAGACTGGATGTAATTGAACTATATGTCGTGAAAGGGTATAATGTGATTTGAGTTAGTCGATATTTGAATGTCGAATTACACTAGGACATCTTTGGTGTATTGGACAGACCTACGGAGGAAAAGATTATTTTATACTGACCAAGTCAATAATCTGGACCTCAGTAATTGACATGTTCTCCTAACGCATATGACAATAAACGATATGTACTTGACACTTGCTTATTTGATTTACTGAGGATGATACCTATTCTGTTAGGTTGACATACTCGTTATTTTGGTAAGTGATGTTGTTTACATGATGTGCCTTTGAGATTGTTTACGGGCACTATGTCTCGGTAGGCTGATGATGTCCCCGATATGAGCTAAGGAAGGTTTATTATGTTAAGCTCTGCAGGCATATTAGTTTTCGACATAATAATGAAGAAATGAGTGGTACTAGTTTCTGATGGAGATGTTGATCAATTATATTGTCCGTAATTAAATTAATCAACGTTATATTTTAAACATAAGGAGGTACTTCGATCGATTAAATTCTGGGAACGAATTATTTGTAATTCGGAGCGAAATGGGGAGTGCAATAATATTACTCTAATAGAATGTTCTATTATCCAGATAGGAATAAGGCGTGAACATAAGATTGAACATAATGTGTAAACAACATGTTTCCTATTCTTTGGTAAGCCCATATTTAGCACCTCCCTAGCGTCCCTATTGTAGCCTATAAATATACCAAGTCCCACACCTCTTACATGGTTAATGCATTTGAATTTTAGTCTCCAAAAGAGAAAAATCGAGAGCAATATATTAGAGAGGTTCGGGAGTTTCGTTTAATCACACCACCAAGACTACTTGAAGTAGGTGTAAGCATTAAACTATACGGCGTCCTGCAAATCTAATACAAACATTCACCAACCTAAAATTTCTCAACATGTCCGAGACTTTATAAATGTGCATGAATTAGACACATACATTCAAGCCATAATAGTTGGATAATATAATCTAACAAACGATTTATGTATATATATGTACAAAAAATGCAGCGCTCGGAGAAAATTATTCATGAAAGAAAATTTATATTAATGAACAATAAATTGAATTAACCTTGGGCTCTAATACCCATTTTTGGGTTCGACAAAGAACGCCAGTTATTGTTCTCTAACTGAGTTATACAAGATTAATCCTAAGTGCAGCGGATCTAAAGTTTAGGATCAAGATCTTACGGTTTTGTTTAAGTCGACTCTGAGATGACTTACACAACCTACGGGGCTGGACGAATGATTCTGACTCTCGCCTCTCGAACTCGCGCGTCTCGCATTGTGTCCGCGACCTCAAAGCCTTATGTTGTATTCCATCACCTCGGTTGGGCGTCGTGTAGGCGACGATCTCTCAAACTCGTGTATCAACTCTCTTTCCTCTTGCTTCTACACGATCGTAGCCTAGCCTTGCTCTTGCTTCTTAACGATCGTGGACTTATCCTATTTATTGGGGTTATCTATTTTGTGATTTTATGCAAGAAAATGAGAATCCCACCATCGTTAATTTTATTAGGGTTGGCGTGATTTTGTGATTTCTTGGCAAGAGAATGAGATCCCCACATGGTTAATTTATATGATACCACAGGAATTTAAGGAGTTTAGGAATACATCTGATGGAGCATATTTAATTAATTTGGCTCTATGAATTGTATAAGAAGCAAGTTTAGGGAGCAATTTAGATTGATTTGGCTCCCAAAAACTAGCTAGCTATGGAGTGAGGAGGTCAGAGAGCTTGTTGAAAAAAGTTATAGACAAGTGGTGGTCCAAACGATTTCCACCATCTATAACTATCCTAAAAGGATGAGTCATTTCTTGAAAATTTTAAAATGCCCATATTACCCTCTAGAGATTTACCTTTTAAG